ATGTGGCCGGCAAGACTAAACACCAAGGCGCACGGAACGCTGTTCCCTTCCCACCGAAGTGGTACCTATTTATCTACTTGCAATTTCTTGCTTTCGAACTGCTAGGTTGGCAGGAGCTGGAACCAGAGACGGGAGCTCACTCCGTCATGTGGCAACTCGGGTCTCGGAACTGCTGAACTACCGACCTTCCACAGCCTGCAGTTCAGCGTCTTAACCACTTGAGCCACCGCAGCTCCTACTTTACAGGGCCGGTACCATGATATGAAAGGCCCAGGCTCTGGTTTGTGCTCGGTGGGATAGCCAACAAATGGCTGCCTTACTGCCGTAGTTGGCACACGGGGACATATGGAAGGAGACTGTCCTTCAAGTATGTGCATCCAAGGTCATGAAGAGCATTATTTATTATTTATTTATTATTTATTAATTTCTATTTCTATCCTGCCTTGCGTGACAAGCAGGCTCAAGGCGGCGTACAATAATAATTTACAATAAAACAGATCAAATTCAACAATAAAATATAAAATGCAGATTAAATACAAGCGATCCAGTGCAGATGGCGATTGTTGTAGTTGGCCCCGTATGACTATCCCAAAGAAAGTGCCAGCAATAGATGTTCAGTAGCTCATTCAGTGGCGGCTCCTAATCGAAGGCCTGGTGGAAGAGCTCCGTTTTACAGGCCCTGCGGAACTGTAAGAGGTCCCGCAGGGCCCTGATGTCCGCCGGGAGCCCGTTCCACCAGCGTGGAGCCGCCACTGAGAAGGCCGTGGATCTGGTGATAGCCAGTCTGGCATCCTTGGGGCCAGGGACAGTCAGCCGATCAATGTGTTCATCACACATTCAACATCAATGTGTTCATACCTGGCATTCTTAGGTATGCATAAAAAACCCCACGTGTGTGAAATGGCCCTGCCAAAATTGTGTCAGCGACCCTTCTCGGCCACCCCTCCAGACTGGCTCACCTGTAGAAAGCGGATGAGGTAGCAAAGCACCATTTTGTTGATCCTGGGCAGGGAGTGGACGACAGCGATGGCCGCTTCCGGGTTCTCGTAGTGAGTGATGCACTGTTCGTAGAAGTCGTGGGGGATCAAAGGCTCCTCCAGTTCCCGGTACCAGAGCTTCAGCAAGGAGGCTTGGGGGGGGTGGGGGGGGAAGAAAAATAGCTGAGTCACTTCGGCACAAGAGGAAGAAAAAGGGTAGCTACAGGAAAACGGTCTCTAAGGTGGGGAGCCCCAATTTTGCAAGCTGCAACCAGTGTTCCCTCTAAGCCGAGTTAGTGTGAGCTAGCTCACAGTTTTTTAGCCTCCAGCTCACACATTTTTGTCTCCGCTCAGGAAGGATGGCTCCAGAGCAAACTAATTTATGCAGTAGCCAAATCGCTCGCTCACAAATTTAGTGCTAGTACCTCACCAAGTAGAATTTTTGCTCACAAGACTCCACAGTTTAGAGGGAGCATTGGCCGCAACCGAATCCTCGCTACCAAAGGCAGCCTGTAAACGAAATTTCAGCAAGCTCCCTAAATTTTCTCTAAACTAAATCCAGGAGTGACTGGAAACAGTTTCTGCTGCCAGGGCTCAGCTCTGCAATGTGGAGGGCCCCAGGAGGTACCCCATCCTCCCTTGTTTACAGTGGAGGGGAAATGCCTTGGTATGAGCAGAAGCTTAAAATCCCTGCGCTGGAGCTAAAACTTTGTGTGCCAGCACCCCCTAGCGCAGCTTAGAGGGAACCCTGGAGACCAGGGAAGCTTCTTGTGCATTCAACCATCTCTTTAAGTCTCCTGGCTTATGAGCCAGAAAAAAACGAAATGTCTGCCTGAAACTAACGAAAAGAGGGAACTCTTTTCCAAGGAACAAAATTTACTCCCTTGGCCACCATCTCACCGCAACCAGGTTCATCAGGTTTTTGTTAACTGGGTTTAGAGGCAGGGGAAGGGGAAGACAGAGTTGCCCTCCCAAGTATCCATCTCTGTCCTTCTCACCGGGAACATGAGGGTCTTCTAAGCCAGTAGGGATTTTCCACTGATCCACCTGAAGTTTGAGGGCGTTGACCTCATCAATGTCTCCAGGGACTCTGTGGATAGCGAGAGAGGAATAAGAGAGAGAGAGAGAGAGAGAAAACGGCCGGACCCGAGTCCCTATTGGTTTCAGAAGCATGTAATTTAAAAGTTGGAAGAGTCCTAAAGACTATCCAGACCAACCCCCTGCACCTACGGCATCCCTGACAAATAATCGGCCAACCTCCACTTAAAAACCACCAAAGAACCCACAACATACCCAGGCAACCAATTCCACCCTTAGCCATAACTGCCTTTATTGTTAAAAAGTTTTTCCCTAATATCCTGCCGATATCTCCCCATCCATAATTTAAACCCATTATTAGGAGTCCGGTCCTCCACGGCCCATTGAAATAAGCTCCCTCTCCTCCTCTAACTGACAGCCCTTCAAATAATTAAAAAGAGTACGATACAGTACAATACAACACCTTTATTGGCATACAAGACAATAAAATAAAAACTTCATCGGGTAACATTACATCTGCAAATCTTAAAACACGTCAGTATTAAAAACGGTTCCTTGCTGCCAAAATCTTGGACAAGAATTCAGCAATCTGTGCAGTAACTTCTGCTGACTTCAGCTAGAAGGTACCTAATTGCGTTGTCCAGGGGTCATTTCGTAGGAAAAGAGGTGCAGGAGCTCATTAGCACAACTCATTAGCATAACTCATTAGCATATGCCACACACCCTGACATCACCGGAAGTGTGTCATAGAGCACCACTGGACTGTTTTGGATTCCTAGCTATTGGGGGGGGGACGTGCAGATCTGTCCTCGCACGGAGGGAGAGCTTGTACCTGAATAAAACTTGGGTCTTAAAGGTGCCACTGGACTCTTTTGGACTGGGGGCCCGGGGGGGGGGAGCTCTGCAGCTTACCTGGCTGTTTCTTGCTCTGACTGAGGGCTGCTAAGAGCAGGGGTTGGGGCTTGTTGCATGTGCCCACCCCCTGGGCTCTTTACTGCCGGAGCTCTGCTCCTGTGCGCTCGTGCAGGAAATGACCCCTGGGTTGTCAGAGTTAATCCTACACAGCATGGGCTTAGTCCAAAGGAATCGAAGATGTGAGCAGTGTTCCCTCTAAGCTGAGTTAGTGTGAGCTAGCTCACAGTTTTTTAGCCTCTGGCTCACACATTTTTGTCTTAGCTCAGGAGGGATGGCTCCAGAGCAAACTAATTGATGCAGCAGCCAAATTGCTCACTCAGAACTTTAATGCCAGTAGCTCACAAAGTAGAATTTTTGCTCACAAGACCCCACAGCTTAGAGGGAACATTGGATGTGAGTGGAGGTCTAAGCCCGTGGTGGCGAACCTATGGCACGGGTGCCAGAGGTGGCACTCAGAGCCCTCTCTGTGGGCACGCGTGCCGTCGCCCCAGCCAGGCCCAGACCATCATTAAAGTGTCGGATTCTCTGCCAAATAATTTTAAGTAAATGAAAGCATTTGGGATTGCTTTCCTTACTTTGTTTGGATCATCTTAAGTTAATGTATGAGTAGTTTTTTCTAAAGTAAAACCTCAGTATTCAGGTTAAATTGCCGTGTTGGCACTTTGCGATAAATAAGTGGTGTACTTCTTTTTGGATGACTGGTCCAAGGACTGTGGAAATAAACTGACTGATACCTGAAGATGCCCTCCGTCTGGTCTCCGTTGAGGGCCAACACTTCCTCCGACAGCCGGGTCTGCACCCACGGGAGCTGGCGGTCGGGGTACCTCTCCTTCTGCATGTTCATGATCTCTTGCAAGGAGCTTCCGAACATCGAAGGGCTGAAGACGGCGTTCTTGGCGTGGCGGATCTCCTCAATGTTTGGCTTCTTGAGACCCTGCCGGAAACGAGAATTCGCGCAAGCGGAGCGTTAATGAGGAGGTGCGAGGCGAGGCCCGGAGCCGCATCCTCGAGCAAAGCCAACTACATTTTTTATAACTCCATCAACGTCTGCAGCCCTTCAAGGAATACAGAAAAGGGAAACTCGGGTGATAAAAGGGACACTTTCCCTATGAGGAAAGGTTAAAGCGCTTGGGGCTCTTTAGCTCGGAGAAACGATGGCTGAGGGGTGACATGACTGAGGTTTACAAGGTTATGCATGGGAATGAGCAGGTAGAGAAAGAGGTACTTTCCTCCCTTTCGCACAATACAAGAACTCGTGGGCACTCCATGAAATTGCTGAGCGGTTGAGTCAGAACCGATAAAAGAAGAAGAGAAGAGATTGGATTTATACCCCCCCCTTCACTACGCAAAGGTGTCTCAGAGCGGCTTACAAACTCCTTTCCCTTCCCCTCCCCACAACAGACACCCCATGAGGTAGGCAGGGCTGAGAGAGCTCTGACAAAAACTGCTTTTTCAAGAACAGCTGTGCCAGAACTATAGCTTGCCCAAGGTCATCCAGCAGGTGCAAGTGAAGGAGTAGAGAACCAAACTCGATTCTCCCAGATTACATCCCGCGCACTTAACCACTACACCAAACTGGCTAAAAGGAAGAACTTCACCCAAAGAATGATTAACACATGGGATTCACTGCCACAGGAGGTGGCGACGGCTACAAGCACGGACGGCTTCAAGAAGGAATTAGATAAGTTAAAAGGACACAACTGCAGTATTATCAAAGAGGTGCGGTTGAAGGAGATCAGGAAGAGCG